CAATCATAACTCCATGGAGCACAATCCTCAAAGGGTTTGATTTCTATGTTGTGACTTGAGAGGCTAAGATATTCATTTAAACATCCCAATGAGGAATCTCAAGGTAGACATCTCCAGCTACCAAGTTGGCATTCAATCTATCAGCTTTACAAAAGCTCATTTGGATCTTAGCTCTACAGAGCGTGATCGTCAGAGATTTGGTTTCTACATTATGGCCCATGGTTCCAGGTCGTCACTGCTGACCTTCATGGTTCCAGGTCGTCACTCCTGAGCCTCCTGGTTTCAGGTCGTCACTCTGAGCTTCCTGGTTTCAGGTCATCACTCTGAGCTTCTTGGTTCCAAGTCGTCACTCCTGAGCCTCCTGGTTTCAGGTCGTCACTCTGAGCTTCCTGGTTTCAGGTCATCACTCTGAGCTTCCTGGTTCCAAGTCGTCACTCCTGAGCCTCCTGGTTTCAGGTCGTCACTCTGAGCTTCCTGGTTTCAGGTCGTCACTCCTGAGCTTCCTGGTTCCAGGTCGTCACTCTTGAGGTTCCTGGTTTCAGGTCGTCACTCTAAGCTTCTTGCTTCCAGGTCGTCACTCCTGAGCTTCCTGGGTTTCCAGGTTGTCACTCCTGAGCTTTCTGGTTTCCAGGTCGTCACTCCTAAGCTTCCTGCTTCCAGGTCGTCACTCCTGAGCTTCCTGGTTTCAGGTCGTCACTCCTGAGCTTCCTGCTTCCAGGTCGTCATTCCTGAGCTTCCTGGGTTTCCAGGTCGTCACTCCTCAGCTTTCTGGTTTCAGGTCGTCACTCCTAACCTTCCTGCTTCCAGGTCGTCATTCCTCAGCTTCTTGGTTCCAGGTCATAATACCTCAGCTTCCTGCTTCCAGGTCGTCACTCCTGAGGTTCCTGGTTTCAGGTCGTCACTCCTGAAGTTCCTGGTTTCAGGTCATCACTCCTCAGCTTCCTGGTTTTCCAGGTCGTTACTCATCAGTTTCCGAGTTCTAGGTCGCCACTCTCAACTTTCTCAATTTCCTGCTTCCAGGTCGTCAATTTGAGCTCCCTGGTTTCAGGTCGTCACTCTCAGCTTACAGGTTGGAAATCTCAAATCAAGGTTTCCAAGCCAGATTCCTCAAGAATAAATCAGACCCCTCTACAACCTATAAAAGCAAGAAGCTGAACCATTGTGATTTTTCAGCAAGCTTAGAAATCACTTGGAGGGGGAGTAATGTTGGGATAGTAATCTAACTAGCCCATAAATGAAATAAAGGCCCATAAGGCCCAAATACAAATGAGCACATCCATGAGTCACAATGGAGCTCATATACATTGAAATGGATCCAAAGGGACCAATAGAAGTGCAACACGTGTAAAACACTTCCAAGGGATCTATAAATATCTCCACACCCCTCAAAGGTAGGGACTTTTCGAAGAGCTCTTCTCTCTCTATTATATTTCTCTCTCTAAAAAGAGCCCTAAGTATAGAATATTGCTAACTTGGGCGTCGGAGTGTCTACCTCGAGGAACAACCCTCGGGTCTGTTTTGCAGGTCTCTATGCTGGTCAGCTTGTGTCAACTAGATCTTGTGAAGCTGCCCAAACAGTGCCTATTATTTAGCCGTCAGGCTTACATTTCCAATTCTCGAGTTGCTTTTTGATCTGTTAGTGGATTATAATATAGTACTAACTCAGCTCGTCCCTAATGTAATTAAGCTAATAATTGCTTTTTCGGTGTGTTATTGAACTTGGGTTGTTGATAACCCAACTGTAGATATGTTAAAATACTTTTACGTAATTAAAGTTGAAGTAAGAAGAAGAAAGGGTGGTACTATTTTACAACACAGGTGTTTAACATTGATAACCGAAGTCTATTCAGTCCTGGATCATCTTGCATTAAGAGGTGGAAGGATAAATACTTTTTTGTTGATGATACCACATGGTCCAACTTTAACGTAGAGATTAAAGCTGTGTAAATAGAGATAAGGAGGTCTAGCCCAAATAAATGTGGGGAGAGCCCGATGGAGTGAGTGGAAGTGAAAAAGTTGATTAGGGGACGCAAAGATACGTCAGATATTTTTCACTTCATTGGCTCTAAAGCTATTGACATTGTTGAAAGGCCAGCTAGACTTTAGTTTTCTGTAAATATAAATTTATTTCAATGAAAAACAGAATGTTGAAAGGTTTTAAGTTCAAATTTCATGTTTAAATTACCTCAGTTCAGTCTAGAAATGATTAATGGAGGAAACACATGCATATGATTAAATAGAAATTTCCAGGCGACATACAGTAATTGGCTTTCCATTCTTTTGCCACCAAAGAAGGCGTGCATGCTGCTAAAGGATGCATTTTTACATTTCTAGTCAGAATACACTTTGATGTATGAAACCCCTTATTTCTATGTTTGGTGGCTTATTCTACTTAGACAAGCTGTTGAAAACCTTATTTGATTCGAAACTTGGTCAGGTAGAATGCTGGACTTGCACACCAAATTGCACTAGCACGTTTCTTCACGTGCAGGAAACTTCCACTGCTAAACTCTTTATTACTCCTCTACATGGGTCACCAAATGTACCAGTTGATACTGCAATGCTACAGCTTTTTGATCCAATGCAAGCCTGTAGAATTTAATATGAGTTTTAAGATTGATAACAATCATACTAGTTGTACAGGGAAGAGTTAGATGAAACTCTAATTTAGAGTGAGCAAGATCACCTTTTGTAGGATAGAAAGTGCCTTAGGGCTGCTGCATTTACCATGGCTAAAACTTCCACAAGTTCCACTGGGAGTCCCGAAACTAGCAAATTTGATTGAAGAAATAGCCTGGTCTGGGAACGGGCATGCAAGTGACAGAGTAGGCCCTGGTTTCGTTTCTGTTTTTGAATCTGAACCCCACATATCTACAGGTGATGGGTGAGATTCTGATACATGTGAGCACAAACTTCCTG